TGGCACAAGGCTTTCAATGACTCAGACTCAGGATGAAGGTAATTAACTATACATGCAATACTTTAAAAAAAATTTACTAAGCATATAATCATTTGATTACAATAAAATATTTTAAGTGGTCTGTGTTTAAAAATATTTCTCACTCATTTTTTTACTTGAAAAACAGTAAGATTTTTAAAGCTTTATTTTCTCAGCCTATCTAGAAGCTGAGCTGTCATTGCATGGTAACCCCAGTCAATTCCAACTGGCATCTTCAGCTTTATTGGCACTTTTTCGCATTAACAAGCATGAACAGCTTATCTATAGCAATTAAAGTCTTCTGATTCTCTAAACAACAAAAGTAAAGATGTCTAGAAATCAAACTCTAATAATTAGGAAAGCTGAATAGGAGGAAGACAAAACAGGTCAAAACTTGCCTTCATGCTGTAATTGTTCACTGAAGGAGACCATAATTGTCTAAATGATTCTAGATTTGTTTGTTCCCCCCATGGAATTTTTTTCCTTACCAGAAAGAAATGTATATACATTGTGAAGTTATTTATTAATGCAGCACTCTAATAGTATCCCGTAGACAAACACTTTAATTACAAGAGCCCAATACTTGGAAAAAAGCTGGAATGTAAATAAAATAGGGTGGATGGATTTTGATTAGCTTTAAAAATCAATGTGCATTGTTTGATTAAATACACATTTTGACATAATTAAAACTAATTTTATTATCACAACAGTGAATTTGCATGAAGCCTCTGCTCATAACTACACAATTTATATGCTGTAAATTACTACATATTTGTGAGAAACCTTTCTCACATGTGTATAACAGCCAGATATCCATGAGTTTTCTGCTTTTAAAAATTAAAAAAAAAAAAAAAAATCTGCTTTGTGACTTCTTGACTGTGATATTGTTTGAACAAGTGTTTTCATTTGGCCAACCATCGACTTCCCCTAGCTTTATTTCTAAGACATGGTGTTGGGCCTTCCACTGCCCAACATACATGGGGAGAAGCACTGCACTCCCTCCGCGCTCCCTCCCACCATACAGAAACACTGATGGTCTTAGATTTAAAATACTTCATTGCTCAGCAACCCGTGGGTTTGCTTGGGAAAACAAAGGCCACTTCCTAAGATAAAATCACCCTTGGGTTATTTCAAATCTTGGTCCTGGTCTGCTTGACCCCATAATCCCCTGACACAGAGTCAGGCTTGAATAGTTAAAACTGATGCCCTTAATCATGTGCCCCTGCTACTGCAGGCAGAAGCCACTTGCTTATGCTTACATGCTAATTTGTTCCATATGGTTTTATTTCTTGCTCCTCTGCCCTCCACAACACAAAAACCATTTTGTCCTGTAGTGAAAAAAGTAAATCTTCCTGGAAAGAAAAGGAAATCTGACCAGGGAGTTCGCCTCATAGTGACAGCACAAGCACGCAGCCTCCCAACTGGATTTGTGCCATCCTTAGTCATGCACAGCTGGTGTTTGCTCACCAAAATACTCTGTTCATAAACAAGCAATCTCTATCCTATTATTGCTGCCATCTATTAATTCAACTTGTTTCTACTATAATAAATCGTCTCTGGCCAGGCAGCTTTCATAAATAGTCATTCTACTCTGAATATGAATCGTCCTGGACAAAACCCAAAAATTCTTCCCAAGTGCTCCTAGGGGAGCACAACTGACTGCTGGTATATCAAAAGAACGAAAAGAATCAGCTGTCAAACTAAGCAAGCAATTAAAAATAGGACACAAGGGTAGAACTTTAAGTTATTTGTTAACACAAAAAGAACACTATAGATTTATAGGTCTTGGTACAGGCACAAGAGCTTATACAATTCTTAACTGCAACAGGTAACCCAGGGTACCAAAAGCCTAATAGTTCCAGAAAGGGGTTAAGAGGCTGCCCTGCTTGTCTCCCTGGCTTTGCATCAAAAAAACCCAAACCACAACTCCCAAAGAAACTACTTTGTCTTGGACATGGTATCTAGGCATCTAAATTAAATCCTGTCTTGAATTATTTACTCTGTAACCATGAGGTAAAAATATGCCAAACAGACTGAGCACCAGCATGCAAGACTTCAACTCCTAAATTCTAATCCCAGCTCTGCCAACAACACTGTGTGCCAATGACAATGTCCAAGGCTCTGCTGATGCCTTAATATTTCAGACCATCACTATAACTGAAAAAGCTTCCATACTAAAAAAAAAAAGTTCTATCTATAGAAACAGTAAGGTTCTGGTTTTGTTTTTTAACTACAGAAAGTATTTTAAGAGAAGATGATAGGAAGCCTTCTTTTATCAAGAGGACAAAAAATTCCTTTACGCTTTAACTGTTAACCATCTTCCATCTTATGACACTATCAAACAACACTGTCACAGCTATTACTGAAAGAAGCAAGAATATACTCTAATCTAATCTCACCTGAAAGCATCTTCCACAGATCTCTCTCACCAGAAAACAGTCATTCTCAATAGTCTGTGACCTGTATAATCTTAGAAAAAGAACACTTGAAAGATCAGAAGACAACATAATTCTTAAATTAATTTAGCTCCAGTATAGTACTTGCTTTGAAAATCAAGTTACAAACACTGAACTTGTAACAGAAACAGACTGTATCTAATAAAGGAAGCACAGACCTTTGTCATGGTGACCTATCTTTCTTCAGAAGTCCTTTCTTTCCTCCTTTAAATAGTACATCAAGTTCAAGCATCAGTTTCTATAAATCTGTATTTTACTTATAAGAGACATAAGGACTGTAATGAAATTGCAGGAGGCTGCTGAAGGTCTGATCTACTAACAGAATCATTACTGCTTCCTCAGAAAGATATGAGCTTACAATAGCAATGAAGGGAAGGGAAACCACAGGAAGGTGATGCAAAATCAGTACTTATTAAAAGTAAAATAAAGAGGTCCATTGCTGCCTATCTGAGGTCAAAGAAATTCACCATAAACTTCAGGATGCACCAATGGACTCAGAACAACAACCTCCTTATTTATTTCACCAGAAGAAAACTGAATATTGCTATGATCCCTACAGTTCAGAGCACTGGACAAACCCAGCCTGGATCATGTCCCAGAGATACTCATCTCATAACCCTTGCTCACAGAACTAATTAACTGAAATCAATGGGAGTACACAAATGAACACACCAGCAAATTCAAGCCCAAATGTTAAACATAAACCACAATGTATGCCATCATTATCTTAAAACAAACAAACAAAAATATATTAATGCATGAACAAACATGGTATAGTTTATTCATTCACCTTAATCTCATATTTTCTAACATGTAACTACATCAATGCTCAATTTCACCATGGCAGCAGCTTACTAAATTGTAACCATCAGTTCATGTAAGTCACAGCTATTTCATCAATTTCAGCTGCTCTTCATTGATTAACATTCAAACAGACACTGGCATCCAATTTTACACCACCACATAATTGTAACATCAGAAATGACCAGCATTATATATTTACTTACATTTCTTGGCTCAATTTAATTTAAAATTACTTCTCAGTCCCTGATTTTCCAAATAACCTCTTCAATCATTCTAGACTACGGTCTCTCTTGTGTGCTTTACAAGTGTTTTAATGGGCAACTGAAGTGATGTATCATACTACTATGTTTAAAGCCAGGCCTTTAACTCCTAACAAAGGCCATAATCCCAAAACTGGTGTATGTAATTACTAAGAGATGCTTTACCTAAGTATAAACAATGCACTAAACTTCATGTTTGAAAAGTATTGGGCACAATCCTAAATGCACTTAAATCGGTATAGAAAGTTACATGCAATTAGCTGACATGGTTTCCATATGAAATGACCGTGCCACAACACAGATCACATCGCAAGGATCACATTCATTTTCTAAAAGTATTACAGCAAATGCCATGTTTTAAAGTTAATTAGAAGGAACCATTCAAGCAGTTTTGCTTTCCAAGATGACAAATTTTTCTCTGAAATCAAATTACTCCAACAGCCTATTTAAAACACAGAACTAAAACCTGTGAAATATCAAGATCAGATGCTATTACAAACAGTACATATTTCCTCCTCTTACCAAGTATGACTGAGTTTATGGACATTTTTTCATCTTTACAAAATTCCTACAGGAAGAGTGCAGATCACATGTAAACTTCACTCCCCCTACCTTTTTTTTCTCTTACTCATCTTTTACAACAAAGAAAAGATGCCACATTTACCAGATTAAAGTATATGAAGATACTCTGTATTTAATTAATGCTTTATGAGTACAAAACCAGCATTATACACCCTTAGGAAGTGAAGCTTGCTTCAGAGTTTACTTCTGTGTCAGTAAGTGTGTACAATAAAGTACTCCCAGTTTATAGCAGCAGGTAGACATAATGAAGACCTGTTGTTTTTACACTTGAATGGTTCCTACTGTCTATTTATAGTCCAAGTAACAGTTTGAGCAATACCAAACTGGGCAATGATATTTTGTCACTCAAAAAAATGTATTTCCAAGCTTTAGGGAAGATATGTAGCTTCTTTTTTTTTTCCTCAGCTGTTTGTATGTAAAGTATTTTTACACATTAATTTCTCCAGAAAAAGTAAATGTTCAGAGCTATAAAAAAAAAAAATAAAATGCTGGACACCACCCAGCACTTACTCTTATTTTTTCCAAGTCAGTGCTCTGAAGTGATAGAATTCAATTATTTATTACATGTCTCCAACCTGCACAAACATCCTCTACTATGTCTACACATCCTCACAGAATTGCAGTTGAACTCAAGAGATACACAAAAGAAGGGAAATGGTCACACCCAGATGAAGGATGAGATCTACTAAGTCATTCATGGTACTGATAAAATATAACCAAATTAATACAAACTTATAACTCCATGAAAAACAAATAAAGTAATTAACTGTCAGAGTAAATACTTAGATGTAATGAATGTGACTGCCTGCAGCAGTAACCATTTTATTTATTAGACATACACTCATTTCACTTTAGGGCTGATAATTAGATGTTCACCTACCGAATCATTTGCTGCTAGGGCGAGGGCTATATTTACTGCAAAAAAGAGGAAGGAAAGAAAAAAAAATTAAATTCAAGAAAACTTAATTCCTAAATATCAAGAATGTTATCATTACTAGAAAGAGAAAAATATAATATAAATACATCACACTTACTTAATAACTGCATTCATCAACTCGGCTCTTAGCTTCTTGCACCTCTACAATAATACCAGTTTAGGTTGGCAGCAGCACCCACATTTCAGTCCAAGTTTGCCAACAGGCTAACAAACTCAAGCTAACCTGTAAAAACTTGCAAATCAGTTTGTAGAGGACACTGCAAAATAAAACTACAATCTAAGTGTTTTGAGGTACGCACTTGGCTTCTGGAAGGTGGACACTGTATTATATAACTAAAATAACCCTACCATTGGTAACCTTTACCATAGTCTTTAGTAAACTTTCTTAAAACTAGAGATTAGGTTAAGTATTGACATATACTATTAAAGTATAGTGACCAGAAAGATGATCATATCCCTTTTTTTGGTTTATTGTGATATATGAAATGTGGATATTTTCTGGATGAATGATGAAGGTGCAATGCATGCTTTTCCCTTGATTTTTATGCCAGAAAACAAAGTCAAATCTACCCTGAAAGCATCTGTAACAACTAAAGAAACAAAAAACCAGAATGAAGCAATTAAAAAGACTGTGAGTTTGTTTACAACTTTTACATTTCCATCAAAACTTAACTCCTATAACTTAAAAGCACGTGTAATAAATGGTATCTTTTATCAGCTCACCAGCTTCAATTATGTTTGAAGACCTCCTAGAAGCTTCAGTATACCCAAACAGTAACATGTTTTGAAAGAAAAAAAAAACAAAAACCAAAAAACCAAAAACACACAGAAAAAAAACCTCAACACACAGTTCTTCCTTGGGTAATATATTTTGCTTTTTTTACACACTGCTGTAATTCAGTCCACAGAGCCTTTTCAACAAAGATAAACTATGGTCAGAGCCTTGTTCTACTGGAAGAATATGAAGGTACTGAGAACAAGCTTGGGAGACAGATTCCCAGCTTAAAGAACTTAGTGTTGAGAAAGATAAGTTCCTTTAAACAAAATGGTGAAGAGGTTAATGAGGAAAATTGTACAGCTCTCCTTAAAAAGCATACAGCCTCTGTTTACTCCTAAACGGATAAAGCATATAGATTCTATTCTTCAGTTTGCTATTTAAGCAGATGCTTGATTAACCATTCCCTGAATCAATCAGAAGAAAATACACTCTCTGAAACCTGGAAACCAATCTAAAAGTCACAGATAAGGAGAAAAGACAAGCAATCCAATGATAAATAAAAAGGAAAAATCAACTGCAGCTCATGTCTGAAGTGGCACAAAGGAAGCAGCAAGTTACTCCACACACTGTCTTAAAATCACTTTATACATCTATCTTCTCCCTATACAATTATCATGTGTGGAAACTAAAGTAGGATCCATAAAGCTTTTTCAATAAAGGATATTTGACTACTGAAGGGAAAAAAGGGAAACAGTGGGAATAACACAGTGGAAAAACCTGAGAGTCAGCTGAATATCTAGCTGGACACCTCATGTTTTCTGTTGGATCCCAGCTGATTCTTGCACTTGTTTGTCTTTTTATTACCATCAGTTCCAAGAGGGTGTAGAGCATAGGACCTAACCTGACCCTAACCTGTTGGCCCTAATTAATAAGTTCCTATAACCAGGAGTGCAGGGCAGATATGTTCCAGAAGTTCATTACCACTTTCATTTTTTTAATTATTTCTTTAAAACTTCACTGCGGGCTACAAGAAAAGTCACCATGGTATCTCTGCCCATGCTAAACTAGCCAACCAGTATCAAGAATGATGCACAGGGAGGTCAGTACAAGTCTGGGAAGGTTTATTAGTTTGGACTTTGTAACTTCCAAACCCAAACTGGCTCTAGGAAAAGCACAGTTGAATTCTCAGAACACTGAGCTAACAATGCAAATAAAACTTCTTGGCCCAAAATCAGACATGTACAGAGCCAGCTGACTGTGTCTGCATCTGTGACATGGCTAATCTACATCATCAATAAAACACCTACAGATAACTAAGATGAACTCTCTCTGAAAGATAACTCAATATTTACATCTCAATGTAAGAGGCATTTAGAAATAGAGTAACTGGTTTACAACTATTATTTCTCAGAATATTTTAACATGTAGAGAAAGCCCAGAATCAAAAACCACAATGGTTATCCCAGAAAAGAACCATAAACGGACACTATTATCACCTTTGCCAAAGCCCAGACTTGTGTCCAGGCTGGTCAGGTGAATAAATGGATTTTGGTCTCTGCCTTGAAAGGGTGAGTTTCAATAATAGTACATCATTCATCTAGAATAAAAGCATGCAAGAGGGGAAAAAAAACCCTAAAACACAGTTAATATGACTGAGATAAAACCAACACATGGTCAAACGTATCAGGTCTCTTGAACAGTTACAAAAAAATCTCAGTCCATTAGTCTTTGCTATAAGTGTCTGAAGGCCAAGATACTTTAAAGTATCACTATTTTCTTCAAACTGCAGGATTAACAAAATGTGAGGAAGAATACCAGCCATTAATTTTATTCCACTTCCACAGCTGGAAAAAAAGTTTCAGTAAATTAGAAACCTCTCCTCTTTCAAGACCACACTTTGAACTCTTCTCATGCCAGGATCAATTTTCTACAGTACTCTCATCTTCAGGGTAATGCTGAAGAGGAGACAGAAGAGACAAAAAAAAAAGGGACTTTGGCCATATAAATACAGGATAAATACAGAAGAATGATGGTAAGAGACAGAAACTAGGCAAACAGCAATGACAAAACACAACTAAAGTATTTAAACATGCATTTAAAAATATTTTTTCTATAGCACAATTTATTTTAATCACTGACTATATTAATTTCAAAAGAACAAAAAGTCCTATTAGAAGCAACAAAGAATACAAATATGAAAGCTATACATAACAAACAGAAAGAATTATTCAACAAATTAAGGAATGGCCCTGACAAACTTAACCAGAATGCATATCCACTTGTCCTGAAATAGAGATTCCTAACATCATAAACAAACTATGGGAAAGAATATGAAGAGCCTTGATAGTCCTTCAGAGAGGCACAGACTGTAAGACATTTTCTGTGGTGCTTCTGGAATTAGAGGTGCGTACTAGCCTCTCTTCTTTTCAACTCCTGCTCTCAACATGAGTCAGCGGAGTTGTCACCAAACATGTTCCCCACAAACCTCCACTACAAAGAATATCATTTTAAGTACATAATTCAGCAATGATGCCATGCAATACTTTTGTACATACGAGTTATCTGACCTTCAATTGTTCATCTGAACCATAACATTTTTTCTCATTTTAACAAAAAAGTATCTAGATTACTTTTTCTTCTCAATATTATAAATTAATACATTAACAAAAGACTGTCCAATACAGCAATATCTGAATGGTTCATTTACATTTCAATTCTCTTATTTAATGCTTGCTGAGGCCTGATTTTTTATTTTTAAACATAGGGGTATGAACTCCCAGCTCTAAGTATTATTTATACATGTGTCACACTTCATGTTTAAATTACATACAGACACCAGTTAGCAGAACTTAAATTAGCGTATTTGTTTGGAAACATGAGGACGATAATCTGAATTTACTGTTCAAATTATGCTCATTTTGTAAATTGTGGATTTGCAAACAGGTATTTGGTATTTTTGGTAACCTGAAACAACCAGTCTATGAATTATAACCATCAATCAAAAGATACCTCATTAAGAAATGCAAGTGTTGAATGTTCTGCATGTCTTTGTACAGGAATGTGTATTCTATGTATAGAATAGTATATAGTGTATCCTATGTACAGAAAAAAAGTACTGTCAATTTTTATTTTTTAAAGTACAGCTACTCATACTACAGAATATCATGTTTGACTTTTCTAGTATTTATTAGACAGTCAGTCCTTTACAAACATGGCTAAAACACAAACCACAAAATTAGAAATTAAGAGCTACATCAATGTGCTATTTACAGCAAATGGAGATGAACAGTAGACAACATTCAACTAATGGATTACTCTTTTCCAAACCACATGCTAAAGAAAGTATCTTTAAACAAATTTCTAATGCTTTAAAGAGATAGTTTCAAAGAGGTTTACCTTCAGAGTCATCTTTGTTGAAGTTCAAGCAAATTTCTGCAGTGCTGATAACCTATGTACTACCTTGTTCTACCACCTAGGAACTGCACAGTTAGAGAACAATTAATTCAAAACCTAATGGTGGGGCTAAGAGTTCAAGGTGATCAGCAAGACTCTGATCCATTGTATGATAAATTTGCATGATTTATAACTACTGTTTCACCTTCTATTTATGCAGTGCCTACGCAAGTAGTTGAGAAAATTGAATAAATACTTGATTTAGAAACTTAACTAAATATCAGCATCCTCTACAGAGCACATGACACGCCAACATAGCACAGAGGAGCATTGTACAGGCACACCTAGGCTGCTAGGGAAGAAGGACTAGTATCACTGTACCTGCATATGTTCTAAGAAAGCAGACGGTCCCAGGACAGCACTGCACTATTAGGAAGCGTCTGCTCGATTTGCACCTCATTTAAAGCTAAGACCTCTGTACCGGCTTGCGACTCAGTACAAGATAAGGAACTACACAACAAGTGCCCAAATATTCCTTACAAAACATTACAAAACATTCAAAGTAAGCTATTAAAAAAACTCTTACCTGCTGTCGTTGATTTTCCAACTCCCCCTTTTCCAGACGCCACGACCACCACCTGCTTTACTCCTTCTATGGGCTTCTGCCGCGGCAGCCCGCGCGACAGGATCCGGGCGCGTCTGTCCCTCAGAGCCTCATCCCGGGAGCCTGAGGACTAACGCAAACACAACACAAGCAAATCCATATGCACCGGCCCGCAGCCTCCCCAGAGAAACACGCGTGCTGAGAAATTCCCACTACGGGTCCAAACACCCGTTTTGCGGAGAGGCTCCGAGAAGGGAGCCTGCTCCACGGGCAGGCTGGCAGGGACGGGGCCAACTTAAAAATAACTCCCGCGGGCATTTTGTTGAGTTCATTATATGATCGATCTTAACACTTCAAAGAAACACGACGGCTTGTGTTCAAATAAACCCAAACACCACTTAAAGTTGGAAGCTTTAAAAACGAGGCTAGAACTAGCGGTACCTTACAGCTGCTTCAAGCCCAAGAACCGCCGCTGACAGCGGAGAAAGGGGGCGCGCAGGCAGCGCTCCGGGGCTGTCCCCCCCGAGCCGCGCCAGGGGAACCCGTCCCGGTCCCGGTTTGCGGGGCAAGTCCCGCTTCGCCGTCCTGTCAGGAGAGGGGGTACGCGACGGCCCTTGGGCGCCCTGCGGGCCCTCCGCAGCGGGACAGACGGACCACCGGCAGCCCCTGCAGCTCCGCGCTCCCACCTACTACTTGGCTGCCCGATTTGACCATCGCGGCCGGGGAGCGCCCGCTCGCTACTGCCACAGAACTGACTCAGGTCCAGGCAAAAACCGGGCAGAGACTCATCTGCCTCGGCT